TAAACCCTTTTGATTTTTGCAGTGCACTTATCTAGTATGGTCTGGTTTTCTTTTTTTTTTTTTATTCCCAACCTTTTTCTGGTTCATTTTCATGTTTTTATGAGGTATCCTCTATAATGAAATGTTGTTTCTACCCTTGCACCCCAGTATTGCCGTAGCACTCCTGCAATTCCAGTCTACAACACTGCACACATCCTTCAGTTTATATAAAGGAAGCACAAACAGCACTAACAAGCTGCTATCTTCACCTCATATAACTTACCAGGCTATCAGAAAATTAATGTATTTAAACATGTAATATGAAATCGTGACCCTACTGTAACCAGTGGCAGATGCCACTGCATTTCACCAAAGGTATGCAAGCATCTCCTGTCCCCTGGCTAGCGCTGCTCTCAAGCAAACTGAATCCTGAACCTACAGAGAACTGCAGAGCCGTAGACATTTCTCATCATAAGGGATCAAAAAAAAAAATATTGAGATCAGGTATTTATTACATATAAAACATTAAGCTTTAATAAACTACTTTTCAACATAGCATGTTTCTTTTTCTTTGCTGTCCACTATTCTAGTGGTTCAGATTCAGAACTGATTTATGCAATGCTTAATTCTTTCAAAATCTTTCTTATTTTTTCCTATTTTTATTCCTATTCTTCCTATTCTTTATCCTATTTTATTCCTCTTCTCCCTTTTTTTATATGGATTTTGTGTTTAAGGTTACTGCCAAACTGACATCACTAATATTAAAAACTTCTGATCCTGGCTGCCAACCTTAAAACTCATGAACTTCCCCAAATAACCATACATATATATATCATAATATCACCTATGCTAACACACACCATTCTTAGATAATCTGTATCTACAGAACAAACGCTTTCTAGAGAACAGATCCTGTATCCATCTTCATCAACTTGAGTCAATGCTAATCTGAAAGGCTTACGAATGTAAGAGATGAATGTTATTGCCTTGTTCATCAAATATTTGATCGTTCTAAAGGGACTGTCAAGCAGAATGCCAATTAAGATACGAGCTCCGGTTTATTATGAGCCATACTAAGAGGAAAAAATAGTTTTACATAAGTCATCGCTTATTTGTCAGGAAGAGTAATAACCTCGGGACCTCACAAGGACCTGGCTGCCAGACTCAAAGCAGAGGCAGGAAAACTTCCTACGGGTGATGCAATGCCCCTGCTCCGAGATGGCCGTGAGTTTGGCACCAGAGTGACAAAATAAAACACAAACAGGACAAAACATACCCCAAATGTTACAGAAATGAGATGAAACGGTTGCTTGGCAAAATTTTGGCTACTTCTGGATTGCGCTACCGCTTATCCTTTACTGATTTTTCAGAAAACCTCTTTCTGCAAGGAGTTCGGAAGAAAACTGAATCGATGCAGGATAGCGTCTATGAACTTGGCTGAGTTTGAACGAAGAGAGGGGAAAAAAAAAAAGAGATGGCACATTGGGATTAAAAACACGGGAAGCAGCAGAGAGCAAGGCACAAAAGCAAGAGTGGATAGAGAAGCCAGTGGGGGTGCCAAGGTTAACATGACGACTGGAGAGAAAAGGGCAACGGGGAGCACGGCGAGAAATGAGATCCAAGATTTACGCTTGGACAAAACCGTGTAGCTCTGAAATATCTGAACTCGCTCAGACGGACAAAGGAATAACTAGGAGAGGAATATGAAAAAGAGATGGTTATATCCACAGGAAAGGAAAATAATGTTTGCGGTACTGGCTTAGACAAACCAGAGGATTCGATAGCATCATTAGAGGGAGCTGGAGGTCGGCTCCTAGTAAGGCAAGAAAGGCCAAAAACTTGGAAAGCTTGTGAGAGGTAGACCCAAATTTTCTCCACTGTAAATGGGAGGGGGTAAGACTCAACCACCAAGCAGATCGCTTATCACTGCCCAGCCCATCAATAACCCAGTGTCAAGAGAAAACTGTCGTGATTACTAGCACTGCTAGTAATGACACTGCTTATGTTTCTTACAGAAAAAAATAATACCAAAACCATTTAAATGGTAATATCATTAAGAAAACACCCTTCTTGATTCACTTGCATTACTTCACAGCACTTCCAAAATTTAACCCAACAAATACGAGATGCTCTTATCCTTGTTTCTTTACTGGCATAAAAGCTGCTAACCACCAGCCATAACCAATTGCTCTGGCATTATAAGCTTAAATAACACCTGACAGGACGAGTCCCCACGAACATGCCCACAGAGCAGCCGCGTACGTGGCTAATGGACTCACGCAGGGCACTGGAGGATACGCTGGAGTGTATTTCCACTTAACACCTATTACAAGGGGAAGAAAGGAAAGTTTATTATAATGTAACGTGCGACATAACTATATGTCAGTTGTCATTCCGTGTGACATCAACTTTCATTTTACCTCGGGTTATTATTTAAGTAATAAATCCTAACAAGGTGAGCTTTATCATCCCAGGGAGTGTATCCGGGAGGTAGAGACACAAGGTGATGGCAAGAACGCTCGAAACATGATAATTCCTGACAGCTGCTGCTTGAGCACAAGTTAAATTGAACAGTTTATCTCAGCATAAAGATGTTATAAGGTTTTATGTTTAATTTAAAAAAATTAACATAAAACCCAGAGAAAGCAGAGTTAGGCAATCTTTCACAAACATGACATACTACAATCACTGTATAAGCTGGATTAGTACTTATTACTATGCTACTAGAGAATTAAGCTGTTTTTAGACCACCAAAGAGCTTTAAATTGCAACTTTTGTCTCTGTAAGAGAAACCTATATTTAAAATGTCTGCTAAATTCAAATTAACAGCTACATCATTAACTTACCATCTCACAAAACCCCCCACATTTCAACTGCTATTATGGTATTCTTATCCAGACCTATCAACTCTACAACGTATAATATATACAGTACTTTTCAATATCGTGTGAATCGTCACAAAACCTGCGTTCAAGGTGACATTTCTAACACAAATGCCTTAGGTCTCCTCTCCGAAATATGTCGAAGTATTTTTCTGTGTCACAAGTGACCTTCTCGCATAGAGCAGGACCATCACACATGCAGTAGCATCGCTGCCTTGGAGGCTGGCCAAATTTCAGGGCCACCATCCACACAAGCTCCTGTCTTACACTGAGCCTGTGCTTAATCTGAATCACTTAATAGTCCTTCTGACTTCTGAGGAACTACTTATGTGAATTAAGTTAAGCGTGTGCTTAATTCACACAAATATTCATGGGAAGGAAGCTGAGCGTGCTTGCAGGTTCAGAGCCACGACGGGTCCGGAGAATGCTCTGACCTTTGCTACTGTCTTCTCCATTATTTTACTACAAAAGACTGAAAAGAGGTAAAATATAAAAACCTTTACTTTTTTTAATTACCAGCAGACAAAACAACTAATATAGGTTTCCATGTATATCAAGCAAATTATAAAAGTAAAGGTGCTAAAGTATTTTTATTATGCTTTATAAATCATCTTCGTGTCATGTAACCATGATTTACTCTTTTATGGCATTGCCCTAAATCTTTCAATTAAATTCCCATGCAACTTAACTAAAAACACATTTTGCCTTCCCTTTGGGAGACCACACAGGGCATATTTATGTATCTATGGATATGGAGGCTGAACTCTCCAATTCACCAGGCTTACAGCACAAAGTGAGTTTAAACCAGCACTTGATTTGTACCAGAATATTCCCTCTGTCTTGCAGAAGCTCTGCCAGCATGAAGGACTGACGGATGCGGCCTCCGTTTGCATCGCAGCACAAGTAACCCGGTTCTCCCTGGAAAAGAAGGAATGCTGTAGGGTATGATCCTGCAGCAGCAACAGGGGCTGTCCTGCACTGCGAATGAAATCCAAGGTCATAAATCTCTGCTGCAAAACAACTACATTCACAGTAAAATGAGTTTATGAGTGTAGATCTGGCAGTCCAGAAAAGAGGTACGAGCACTCTTCATTTGCCAGGTGCAGTATTACGATAAAACAGAGTTAGATTTGGACATCACTACAAACATGAGCCTTTTAGGGGGATACAGGTACTAAAAAAAGACTGTTTGTTAGATGGTACTGACTGAATTGACATTCATCCAGCCTTCAGGAGGGGAGCATGAGGCCGAAAAGTGGTTTTGCATCAATCTAGAACTAAAACCTTGAGCACTTGGAGGCGTCAAATCCCACCGTACTTCTCACAAGGCACTGACCACTTTGTTCTCGCCAAGCCCCAAATTATACTGTATCTGTAAGTACACTTCTTTCTCCTGAAGTATCAATTGGCAGGCCTAATGTCAGACAGCAGAGTCTTAAACCCTCAGATTTTTACCCCAAATACGGTTTTATTCTGGGCACGGTTCTTGTGCACTCAGCAGCGCGATGTCAGGATGCCACCAGAGCCCACACAGGCACTACAACCCAACAAATCGTCATCGATAACAGTCAAACACCGTCACGCCACTGCTGCTGGCTACATCTTCTCCAGTTGATCAGAAACCAACCAAAACTTTATAGCAAATAACAGGAGCCATGAGGGGAACCACCTTCTAGTGAAGGCAAGCACGGCTGGGTAAGAAGTACTCTCTTCTCCC